GAGTAGGGGAGGGGAGGGAAGGGGAGGGGAGGGGAGGGGAGGGGAGGGGAGGGGAGGGGAGGGGAGGAAAACACCCAGATGCTGAATTGAATTGTTACAGGGTGGGAGGCTTCTGGGCCATTTGAACACATTGTCATTTCTACGATTTATCATGCCATACAGCACCATCTACCATTACAACACTGTACTACGCCATATGAACTGGAAGTCCAAGGTGGTTGATCCTGCCATCTATAGGATCCCTCCTCATCCATTCACCCAAACATCCGCAGAGACAGAGGGTACAGAAATCGCCACCCATCCAGCGTGCGAATCTCGACCTATTAACCGTGATCTCAACTCCACATCTCAACAGCTAGCCATAATCTCACGCTCCCGACAATGTCGGGGACCTTCCCAGGAATCGATCCCAGGATCTTTATCTGTATATGACAGTAGTGTCAACTAGACAGACATGTGGGTGGAGGTGGGATATAGTTACTCCGTTTTCACCCACCAACCCCCCCTGCTCTCGAGGTCGCCTCCTTCAGTTAGCCTACTGGTCAGTTCTGCTTCTTGTACACTACTGCTTCCGTGAAGTAGCAGCTGTCTCTGACACCATTGCCCTCCTCTTCTGGCATGTGGACTAGTCAGTGGTTCGTCTTTTACCCCCCCCTCCTCTCCCCCCCTCCTCTCCCCCCCTCCTCTCCCCCCCTCCTCTCCCCCCCTCCTCTCCCCCCCCTTCCAGGGTGCCTCAGCCCAGCACACGACCGTGGTGGTGTCCTCCTCCTCCGCCATGCTGCTGTCCCTCTCCCGACCCGACTTCTCCAGAGCATTCAAGGAGGTGCTGGATATACGGCAGGTATGTGTGTATGTATGTATGTATGTGGGGACACTCGGGGCATTACTCGGTCATACATACGTACACACATACATACATACATACATACATACATACATACATACATACATACACACATACATACATACATACATACATACACCGCTCCACCCCACCTCTTTTACAGCTGGGGGGCCCCATTCCCCTGTGGGCCCTATCTCAATGTGCTCGTGGGATGTCGGTGATGTGCGATGTTGCACCCGCCTTGCGCACTCTCAAAGCATACGTAATAGCCTGACACCCTCTTTTAACCCCTCCCCTCCCTCTCCCCCCTCCCCCTCCCCCCTTACTCCCCTCTTAAGGCTGAGCGGCTGATGTATCTGCGACTGCACCCGCTCATGTCCGGACTGGAGCTCCGAGACCTGGAGGCGGCCAGTGAGGTGCTGGGGCTGGCTTTCTTTCCGCCCGGTAGGGGTGGGGCGTGCGTGTGTCTGCGGGGAGGGTGGGGGGGGAGACCCTACTAGGGGCCTGTTACGTGGGGGGCAGAGGAGGGCAGGGGGCGGGAAGGCGGGCTCTTGATCGCTACTAACTCCTTGCGCACAATCCCCCTCCCACACACACCCTCACACACGTCCCCCCTTCAGGCACCCGGTTATGGCCTCTGGAGGAGAAGGACAGATGTCTGTACTTCCTGGCGGAGGGGCAGGCCAAGGTCAAGAAGGGGGGAGCGGGGGCGGCGGCGGCGGCGGCGGCAGCCGCAGCGGCCGCAGCAGCGGCGGCAGCGCACGACGACGGCAACGCCGCCAGCACCGCTAGGTATGGCTGAGCTGCTACTGCTACTGCTGGTGTTGCTACTGCTACTGTGCTGCCGCTGCTAGGTGTTTGTGCGTGTTGCCGGCCCGTCATGTGCTCTCCGCCTCACACCCTACCTGCGCTGTACGGCCGTAATGTACTGATGCCTGTCCTGCCTTTGTACGTTCCAACTCATTGCAGCCTGAGCATGTACGACAGATTCACCATCTCGATGCTGGGTCCCGGCGACATCTTCGGACTGCCGTCGACAGAACAGGCGCTGGCGTTACAGCTGCAGCAGTCAATTGCGGCCGCCAACTCCAGCGGTGGCGGTGGCGGCGGCAGTTTGTTCGGGGGTGGGCCCGGCGGCGCCGCCGCCGCCGCGGAGGTGTCGTACAATCCCACGTGTACGGCAGGCCTATCGCTGGGCTCCCCCGGCGGCGGCGCCGGCAGCGCTGGTGGTGGTGGCGGCGGCGGCGGCAGTAGCTCCCACACAGCGACTGCCAATGTCATCATTGAGAGCTACACCCAAGTCAAGGTGTACACCGTCAAGTACAGCGATTATCTACGGCTTCCAGCGTCCGTACAGCAAGTACTGCAGGTACGGCACGTCCGCGTACGTGAAAGCCTGCAGGGCTGTACGTTAACTCCGGTGTCCTCCATCTCCTCCTTCTCTTCCCTCCACTCCTACACCCTCCCACGAGGCCCACGAAGCCTCTGGAGCGGTACGGCTGTCAAAACCAGTCGAAACCTCCTTTCCCACCTGCCGACCATCTGACCTGAATTCCCAGGCTCCACAGGCCCTGGCCTTCTTCTTTCCCTACCCCCTCCTCACTCCCATCCTCACTGAGCTGCTCGGAACCACAAGAGCACCTTTGAAGCCCTTTCAGAGGACCTTTCTGCCCTTCCTTTGACGTACTTTGACGTACCTGTCTCCCCCGCCTCCCCCCCTTTTCTCAGGCCGCCAACGCCTTCCGCTGGTCGTACTACGAGGGCCGCATCCTGGGGCTGGCGCGCATGGAGCACCGACGGAGGGACGCGCGGCGGGAGCAGCTCCGCCGCCACCAGAACAACGCCGCCAGGGGGGCCCGGGGGGCAGGTGACGGACCGACCCACTCCGCCGCCGCGGCGGCGGCACTGGACCTGGCGGAGCGGGACAAACAGCTCCTCAACACAATACCCATACTCTCCGCCAGCGTCGCGGTCGTCGGCGGCCGGGCGAACGGGATGGAGCAACACGCCGCCAACGCGCGGCGAGCCGTGCAGGCGGCAGCGGCGGCGCAGCAGCAGGAACGCGCGAAGATGCGGCACCGCCGCGGCGGCGGTGGGCTGTCGGACGCGGAAGGTGATCCAGATGCGCTACTGCCCGGTGGCGGCGCGGGATTGCCATCATGGGCGCTGCCGCCAGGCGGAGGCGGTACCGGGCGGCTTGGCGGCGGCGGCACGGCGTCGTACACGAACCTTGGGACACCGCCTGCCACTGAGTCAGGCGCGGTGACGGCGCCCCAGGCGAGTACGGCCGGCGGCGCCGGCAGGGGCAAGCGAAGGTCGACGACGGGCAAGTCAGGCGGCGGCGGCGGCGGTGGCGGTGCGCTTCAGAAGGGCCGTCCGACGACAGCGGATACGGTGGCGTCGGCGGCAGGTAACGCCAGCGTCGCCGGGAGCATCGCCGGCGGCCATGCGGCTGGCGGCGGTGGCGGCGCCGCCACCACCGTCGCCGGAAGCAGCAGCAGCCTGAACCCGCTGCTTTATAAATCCGCCCATGCTAAGGCACTCCTTGCCGTACAGGCAGCGCAGCTGTCCCGTGTACTTGAGGCCGAGCAACGGAACTACTACGCGAACAGACAGCCGGTGCTGCACGACACTGCCGCCGCCGCGGCTGACGGCAGCGGCGACGACGTGCCGTACGCGTACGATGGCGACGCCAGCGATGACGATGACGACGACGATTACGATGATGACGACGGGCCACCTCCCTGGAACGGGGCGTACAGCATGTGGGTACGGGATCGTACGGAACCGTTAAAGGATTTGGTTAATCGCTATGAGCACGGGAAACCCCTTCCCCCTTGCCTCCCCTCCTTCCCAACCCATATGGTAACGCCAGCTTCGGGATTGAGCTCATACCCCCTAGATCCCCCCCCCTTCTCCCCTTCTTCCCTAAAACCCTAACACTTCTCCCGTCCCCTCCCTTCAACCCCGTTGCCGTACCGCCGCAGCTCCAACACCACTCGGGCAAGTCGTACCAGTCGTACCAGCAGCAGCGACGGCGCCGCCACCCACCGCCACCACGCCCGGAAGCCCCCTCCTGGATCTGGCCCTCACGTCCGCCGCCGCCACCACCACCACCCGGCCTCCCCCCCAACCGCCGGCTCCCCACCCCACACCGCGCAGTACTCCCACACCCGCGCAGGCGGGGCGGAGTCCTACCCGTCCAGATGGGAGCCCCGCATACCCATACAGCCAACGCTAAGCCTCCTGCCGCCGACCGCCAAGGCTTTTCCCAAGGTGCAGACGTACCGCCGCCGCCGCCGCAGCGGCGACGGCAGCGGCGGCGACGGCGGTGGCGGCGACGGCGGTGGCGGCGGCGGCGGCGCTACCTTCCGGGGCCCTCAGTCGTCGTCCCCGTCCCACTCCCCCCC